TAGCTTAACGATATTAGTTTAACATAAGCACCTCATTTAAGATTTTCCAAATCACCAAGGTATTCAATTCTCAATTTCACAAAAATTATGAATTGATTCTCTTCGAATTTCCTCTATTTCTCTTTTTTCTCTAAACTTTTCTTCAGGTCATCAGAAGGAAAGTTTCTCTGTAACTTCTCTCCGTCCTTTCTGCTTCCTTCACTTCTTTGTGCCTAGAAACTAATTAGCTAGGTGAGTAATTTGTTTCATAACCATAAGTGGCGGTTTAACTCAATTCATCCTTGCTTGCCCTCTAGAGAAGAAGAATTTTCTGAGTAATTGTAGACTTAAGATTTAGTTAATGATAAGAACTTCATTAAGGTTTTTTAAATCGCCTAAGTGTTCAATTCTCGAGTCCAAAAGGTTGAATTTGAATTCCCTTTGATTTTCTTCCTATTTCTCTTTCTTTGCTCTAACTTTCTCTTCGAGCTCTCAAGAAGAAAGTTTCTCTATAACTCTCTCCTTCCTTCTCCTTCTTTCTCCTTTGGTTCCAGAAACAAATTAGTTGTGGTAACTAATTGTTTCAAAGAGAATTTTCTTAGTAATTTTAGCTTGACGATATTAGTTTTACTTTAGAAACTCATTTACCGATTTCTAAATCACCTAAGTGTTCAATTCTCAAGTCCAAAAGGATGAATTTGAATTTCCATTTTGTTCCAATTTCTCTTTCTTTGATCTTACTTTCTCTTCTAGCTCTCAAAAAAATAGTTTCTCCGTAACTTTCTCCATCCTTCTCCTTCCTTCTCTCTTTTGTTCTAGAAACTAATTAGCTTAGGTAACTAATTGTTTCATAGGATTAAGTGGCCAAGTTTAACTCAAACTAAGGCCTCTAAGAAATGGAATTTTTTGAGTAACTGTAGTTTAACGATACTAGTTTCACTTAAGCACCACATATAAGGTTTTCTAAATCACCTACATGTTCAAATCTCAAGCTAGAAAATGATGAATTTGAATTCCTTTTGATTTTCTTCATATTTCTCTTTCTTTTCTATAACTTTCTCTTGCGCCCACAAGAAGAAATTTCTCTGCAACTTTCTCCGTCCTTCTCCTACCTTCTTTCTTTTGTTCTACGAACATATTAGGTTTGGTAACTAATTGTTTCATAAGCTTGAGTGGCCAAGTTTAACTCAAACTAATCTTGCTTAGCCTCTAAGAAAGTTTCTCTCTAACTTTCTACGTCCTTTCTCATTCCTTCTCTCTTTTATTCTAGAAACTAATTAGTGTAGTCATAAACTTAGGTTGCCAAGTTTGACTCAAACTAATCTTGCATAGCCTCTAAGAAATAGAATTTTCTGAGTAATTGTAGCTTAACGATATTGGTTTAACTTAAACACCTCATTTGAGGTTTTCTAAATCACCTAAGTGCAAACCCAAAAGGTTGAATTTGAATTCCCTTTTATTATCTTCCCGTCTCTCTTTCTTTTCTTTGACTTCCTCTTCTAGCTCTCAAGAAGAAAGTTTCTCTGTTACTTTCTTTGCCCTTCTCCTTCGTTCTCTCTTTTGTTCTAGAAACTAATTAGCTCAGACAACCAATTGTTTTCATAACCTTAAGTCGGAAAGTAGAACTCAAACTAACCTTCCTTTGCCTCTAAGAAAGAGAATTTTCTGAGTAATTCTAGCTTAACAGTATTAGTTTAATTTAAGCACCTCATTTAAGGTTTTTGACTCACCTAATTATTCAATTCTCAAGACCGAAAGTGTGAATTTGAACTCTCTTTGATTTTCTTCCTATTTCTCTTTTTTTTCTCTGACTTTCTCTTCTATCTCTCAAGAAGATAGTTTATCTGGAAGTTTCTCTCTCCTTCTCCCTCATTCTTTCTTTTGTTCCAGGAACTAATATGCTTAGGCAACTGATTGTTTCATAAGCTTAAGTGGCCAAGTTTAACTCGAACTAATTTTGCTTGGCCTCTAATAAAGAGATTTTCCTGAGTAATTCTAGTTTAACGATATTAGTTTAATCTAAGCACCTCATTTAAGGTTTTCTAAATCATCTAAGTCTTCAATTCTTTAGTCCAAAAGGATGAATTTGAATTTCGTATGATTTTCTTCCTCTTTCTCTTCCATTTCCCTGACTTTCTCTTCTAGCTCTCAAGAAGAAAGTTTCTCTATAACTTTCTCCGTCCTTCTCTCTTTTGTTCTAGAAACTAATCAGCTTGGCTAACTAATTGTTTTATGAGCTTAAGTGGCCAATTTTAACTCAGACTAACCTTGCTTAGCCTGTAAGAAAGAGAATTTTATGTGTAATTGTAGCTTAACGATATTTAAGGTTTTCTAAATCACCTAAGTGTTCAATTCTGAAGTAAAAAATGATTAAGTTGAATGTCCTTTGCTTTTTTCCTATTTCTCTTTCTTTTCTCTAACTCTCTCTTCTAGCTCTCAAGAACAAAGTTTCGCTGTAATTTTCTCTGTCCTTCTTTCTTTTTTTTCTAGAAACTAATTATCTTAGGTAACTAATTGTAATTTGCTAGCCACTAATGGGGAAGAGTGAGAAGCTCCCGCATCTCTCTAGAAACAAGCGTTTCTAGGGTTTCAATTCCTCATTGAATACGATGCTCGGAGTTAATGTTTTGTCTAGTTCTGCAAGTCAATCGGGTAAACGGGTGAGTGATATAAATGTGTTAGATCCAGGGGTGGGAAATTTGAGTGGTACCCTAGGGTTAGCAACAAGTTTGACGTTTTGAGTGAGTCCAATATGGATCAAACAGAGAGAAACATCGTAGATATTGTTTTGGGTTCAGAGCAGCCAAACGTCGCTGAGGATTCAGGTCTAACCCTGAACCAAAAAGATCGTAAGGTTGATCTGGCGGATCCATCAGATTTTCAAAGAGTTGTCGATCGATTGGCAAGACTGAAGGCTTCCTGTCCATCGATTATGGCTTCGCCTACCATAGATGGTTCTCAATCGGCGTCTCGATGGTCCGATCGAACGGATAATGAAACCTCTATGTTTCACAATTTACCAGATAGCATCTTGGTCGCTCGTAATAGAAACGATGGGAAGGGCCGTGGTGAATACCAGTCGATCTAATTACAGCAACGGAGAATGAAGAGGATCGTGTCCCTGCCAAAGTTGTGCAGATAAATGAAGAGATCCCTCTCCATATCTCAGATTTCAGTGATGAAGGTGGTCGAGATGAGATGGTCTCTCGGAGGGGGGGATCTTCAAACTTCAAAGGAGGTAGAGGAGGAAGAGGTCAAGGGGGTGGTTGAGGTCTGGGTAATGCCACAAAAACCTTGGCTGATGTAGCTGCGTCATCAACTTGATCTAGCATCCCATTGAGGTATGTCCCCCCTGTTCGTAGTAAGGGCTACGTAAGTGTAAATTTACCCCCACGACCTAACCCGTTAGAAAAATGGGATTCTTGCTTGGTTGGGTATTTTCTTGATAAGGGTGTTTCATACAATTACCTGAGGAATAGTGCCTTCGGCCTATGGAAAAACAAGGGTTTGAAGGAAGTGTTAGCCAATGGGGAGGGTTTTAGCTTTTTCATCTTTGAAAGCCCTGAGTGCTGTATAGTGTAGTCCTTGAAGGTGGGCCCTGGTATATAGGTGGATCTAATTTATTTCTGAAGAAGTGGACTCGCATGATGAAGTTAACTAAGGATAAAGCTACCACAGTTCCAGTATGGGCTAAGTTTTATAATGTTCCTTTCTAGTATTGGGACAGTGATGGCTTAAGTCGTATTGCTAGTGCTGTAGGAGTCCCATTGTTCATGGACCAACTTACAGAAAAGAGGAGTAGAGTGTCTTTTGCAAGGGTTTGTGTTGAGATAGAAGCAACCACAACTTCCGCCGCCGATGTTTAAGGTGAATTGTGAAGGGGAGGATGCGATTGTTAAGGTTGAATATCAAGGCCTTCCCCCTAAATGTGAGCACTGTATTGCTTTTGGGCATGACACTTTAAAGTGTGCGAAAACTCAAGTGGCTGCCTTGGGTAATCTCCAAAAAGAAACAAAAAACAACTCGGATCCTGGTTGGGAAACAGTTAAGGCTAAGGGTAAGAGGAAGGTAGGTATTCCAGATATGCCTATGGTTTCAGAAAACCATGAAGTTCCTAAGGTTGATGGTGTGCAAAACTTAAAAGCGGGGCCAAGTCAACAACAAGGTCCAGCTCAGTTGGATTTTGAGGAAAGTCTGTCCAGTCAAGCTCATCAAGATGGGTCTGGCCCAGCTGGGGGGGAGTTAACAACTCTGAACATGGAGGGTTTGGAGTCAGTGCAAAAGGACTTGGTGCAGACAACCAGTCAAGCTCACATAGATGGGTCCAGTCTAACTGTTGAAGAGTTGGCAACACTGAATATGGATGGCTTGGAGGCTTTGCAGAAGGAATTGGTGCAGATAACCAGGTTAGCTCTTCCAAATGATGCTGAACTGCTGGCTAAAGTGGAACATCTAGTGGAGTCTACTCCAAGCAAATTTAATCCGGCAAACAAACAAGCCCAAACTGGCACCAATGCAAAAGGTAACTCCTCTGGCAAGGGCAACAAAAGCCAGAGGAAGAAACGTAAGTAATCCCCAGTTTTAAGCTGGTTGTGGGTCACTAATTTTTTGATCTTTTATTATGTCTTTGAAAATTGCATCTTGGAATGTCAGGGGATTTAATAACCCTCATAGACACAAAGAAGTCAGGAAATTCTTATTGCATGAAGACATAAAAAATTTGGGCATTTTGGAAACAAAAATAAAAGCTGTTAATGAAAATCAGATTTTTTTCATCTGGTATAAACAATTGGCCCTTTTTTGACAAACTCACAACCTTCTAAGTCTGGGCGGATCTGTGTTTGCTGGGACCCAACTTTTTGTAAGGTGATATTGCTACAGGCTTCTGAACAACATATTTTGTGTGAAGTGCATGATTTATCTAATGATAATATGTTTAGAGCGTGTTTTGTTTATGTTGATAATAAACATGAAATTAGGAAAGTCTTTTTCTCCTTATACTGAAACAGTGGCATCGAATGATGAAACTGTCAAAGGAAGATAAGAAAACCATCCCTATCTGGGTGAAATTTTATAATATTCCTTTGGAATATTGGGATGGGGATGGTTTAGGTAGAATAGCTAGTGCTGTGGGTGTTCCACTGTTTATGGATCAACTTACCTCTTCGGGAAGTAGAATCTCTTTTGCTAGATTGTGTGTGGATATCTCAGCTGAATCGGCTTTTCCAGATAGTTTTCTCCTTACTGATGGTGATATCTCTATGAATATCCATGTGGAGTACCAAGGGGTACCCTCGAGATGTACGCACTGCCATGGTTTTGGCCATGAGACTAAGACATGCCTATCTGCTCAAGTAACACACCTAATTGAGTTACAAAAGAATTCTGAAGAAAGGGTTGAAGATGATGGGGGGTGGACCACAGTTAAAGATAAGGGCAAAAGGAAAGTAGGGGATCCATCTTCTCCTATCAACATTGTCCCTACTGAAGCTAACAATTCATCTGCTACTAAGGGGGATGACCTAATTCCTGAGGTTCAATCTGAGGGGGATGCTCTCCATCCTGTGGTTGAAGAAATTGCTGAATTTGCTACTGACCAAATTGATCCTCCCTTTCCTGAGGTTGTAGAAATTGCTAACCCAGCAGCTGAGGAAGTTATCAAGAATGCGGGGAAAGAGGAAATGAGAGCAAGTTCTCCTGAAATGCAGGGAGGAAAGGAGGATGGGGGGCTCAAAGTGTGCAGCTCAACCAAGAAGAAGTCTTCTGGCAAATCAGGAAGCCAGAAGAAGAAAAAGAGGTAAATAACTGTAGTCTTTTTTGTGGTGATCTGGTTGTGCTTTTGTTATTTATATCATGTCTATTAAACTTTCTTTTTGGAATGTTAGGGGGTTTAACAACCCCTCAAAACATAAAGAAGTTACTGATTTTGTTAAAAAAGAAGATATTAAAATTATGAGCATTTTGGAGACAAAGTTAAAATGGAGAATGAAGCTAAACTTTTTGAAAAAAGCTTTAAAAATTCGCAATTTTTGTCGAATTCACAACCAGATCTGCCAGCTAGAATTTGGGTTTGCTGGGATCCAAATTTCTGTGATATCTTGATGCTTCAAAAATCAAACCAGTTTATTTTTAGCAGCATTAGGAACCACCAGCTTTGCAATCTCGAACACCTTCTTTTGTTCCTATCCACATCACTGCTTTCAGAGCTTTGCTCCTCCCCGGATAAGCTCTTGATCGCAGAAGTCTCCTGAGTGTCAAAGGATTGATCAGATGAGTCCACCTCAGTGGGAGCAATTTCAGGAGCTGGAGCTGGAACTGGGTCTACTGTAGAAGCTGGAACTGGGAGTTCCACCACTTCTGGGATAGTTTCCAACTCAGGTTCACCCACCTTCCTCTTCCCCTTAGCTATGACAGTGGTCCAGCCTTCGTCTTGAGCATTGACATTTTCCTCAAATGTCTTCTGCATAGAGATCAGCATAGCCACCTGTTGAGACACACACTTTTGAGTGCTATGTCCAAATATTTGGCAATGTTGACACCTTGACGGCAGCTCCTGATATTCAACTCGGATTAGAACAACATCATCATCATGCCTAATTTGGAAATAAGTGGGCAGTTTTGAGGTGGCCTCAATTTCCACACAGATTCTAGCAAAAGCCACCCTATTACCCCGAGCCGTAAGCTGGTCCATAAAGAGGGGATGTCCAATTGCACTTGCAATCCTACTCAAACCATCAGGATCCCAATATTCCAAAGGGAAGTTAAAGAACTTCACCCATACTGGAATTTTTGTGGATTTATCTTTTGATAGCTTCATCATCCTTTTCCATTGTTTTAGAATAAGGAGATAGCCTCCTATGTACCACGGACCTCCTTCAAGAACTTCTCTACAACTATCAGGGGTGTCAAAAATAAAGAACATGAACCCATCCCCATTAGTAAGAACCTCCTTGAGGCCCTGAGTTTTCCACATCCCAAAAGCACTGTTACGCAAATAATTGTAGCCCACTCCCTTATCAACAAAGTAACCCACAAGGCAGGAGTCCCATTTCTCTAGCGGGTCAGTCCTTGGGGGCATATTTACAACAACACTATCCTCAAAAGAAGTAGGAGGGATATACCTGAGTTTGATGTTTGAACGGGTTAATGCGGCAGTGATGTTTGCCCATGAGCGATGTTCTTGGCCCTCAGGCTCGTTAGATCTCCTACCACCTGCATCCCCTCGACCACCTCTTCCCCCACGATAACTTCCATCCCCCCTGACGCCTCCTCGTTGGAAGGATGGAGAATCCCTAATCGGTATCTGTATATCAGAATCAAAAGCCCTTACTGGAACTGAAGGTTCGACGATATTCTTGTGTTCCCCTCTATTACGCGCTAAAACTACACTATCTGGTAGATTTAGGAAGCTATTGTACTCTTCCTCCACCATATCAGACCAACTCGTACTGATAGCATTCTCAGTCGGCGTCGATGGCTCGTCAATCGTTGCTGGAAACATCGGACCTTTCAGTTTCTCCGAGTTTGGCTCAGGACTCTTGCCCAAATCGTTGCTTGAATCTATTGGTGGATCTAAACCATCACTCTCTGCTACCGAAACAACCTCGAGTCCGAAACAATCTGCCTCATTAACAGCAACTTGCGATTGAATCTCCACACCGGAAGGATCCACGATCTGAATATCCACACCTCGGTTAACCTCTATAATGGAAGGATTAGCCATTGAGAGACCCTCGCCACTAGGGTTTGTAACATCTGCTTCAGAAGCCATCGATCTTTCACTCAAAATCGCAAAGCTATTTTTGGTGAACCCTAAGTCTCCACCTGATGACTTTACTTTCTCGCCCTTAGCATTTACCCCCTCAATACGCTCATTAATGGTAGCATAAACTCCAGACATCGGCAATCAATGAGATATTGAACCCTATTTTCTAGAGAGATGTCAAAGCTCAGCTTATAATTTCGTTACCATAAGTGGCCAAGTTTAACTCAAACTAATCTTGCTTAGCCTCCAAGAAAGAGATTGCACGGAATAATGGTAGCTTAAAAATATTAGTTTAGCTTAAGCACCTCATTTAAGGTTTTGTAAATCGGCTAAGTGTTCAAAGGTTGAATCCGAAGTCGCTTTAATTTTCATCCTCTTTCCATTTATTTTCTCTAGCTTTTTCTCTTCTACCACTCGAGAAGAAAATTTCTCTCTAACTCCCCCGTCCTTCTCCATCCTTCTCTCTTTGGTTCTAGGGAAAAATTGCCTTAGGCAACTATTAGTTTTATTAGCTTAAGTGGCAAAGTTTAACTCAAACTAATCTTGCTTAGCCTCCACGAAAGAGAATTTACTGTGTAATTGTAGCTTAACGATATTACATTGACTTAAGCAACTCGTTTAATGTTTTCTAAATCACCTAAGTGTTCAGTTCTCAAGTCCGAAAGGACGAATTTGAATTCCCTTTAATTTTCATCCTATTGCCCTTTGTTTTCTCTAACTCTCTTTTCTAACTCTCAGGAAGAATGCTTCTCTAAAACTCCCTCCGTGCTTCTCCATCCATCTCCGTTTTGTTCTCCGAGCAAATTAGGTTAGGTGACCAAGTTTCACTGGCTTAAGTGGCAGAGTTTAACTCAAACCAATCTTGCTTAGCCTCCAAGAAAAGAGATTCTACTGAGTAATTGTGGCTTAATGATATTTGTTTAACTTAAGCACCTCATTTAATGTTTTCCGAATGGATGAATTTGAATTCCCTTTAATTTTCATCCTATTGCCCTTTGTTTTCTCTAACTCTCTTTTCTAACTCTCAGGAAGAATGCTTCTCTAAAACTCCCTCCGTGCTTCTCCATCCATCTCCGTTTTGTTCTCCGAGCAAATTAGGTTAGGTGACCAAGTTTCATTGGCTTAAGTGGCAGAGTTTAACTCAAACCAATCTTACTTAGCCTCCAAGAAAGAGATTCTACTGAGTAATTGTGGCTTAATGATATTTGTTTAACTGAGATTATACTGAGTAATTGTAGACTAATGATATTAGTTTAACTTAAGCACCTCATTTAAGGTTTTGACAATCACTTAAGTGTTCAATTCTCAAGTCCAGAAGGATGAATTTGAAGTCGCATTAATTTTCATCCTATTTCCCTTTCTTTTCTCCAACTTTCACTTCTAGCTCTCAAGAAGAAAGTTTTGCCCTAACTCTCTTCGTACTTCTCCATCCATCTCTGTTTTCTTCTAGGAGCTAATTACCTTTGGCAACTATTAGTTTCATTAGCTTAAGAGGCCAAGTTTCGCTCAAACTAATCTATAGCTTAGCCTCCAAGAAAGAGAATTTACTGAGTAATTGTAGCTTAACGATATTGTTTAACTCATTTCATGTTTTCTAGATCACTTAAGTGTTCAATTCGCAAGTCCAAAACGATGAATTTCAGTACTCTTTAATTTTCATCTTATTTCCCTTTCCTTTCTCCAAATTTCTATCCTACCACTCAAGATGAAAGTTTTTCTCTCACTCTCTCCGTCCTTCTCTAACCTTCTTCTCTCTTTTGCTCTAGGAACGAATTAGCTTAGGCAGAATAAGCTTCATTAGCTTAAGTGGCCAAGTCTAACTCAAACCAGTTTTTCTTAGCCTCCAAGAAAGAGACTTTACTGAGTAATTGTAGCTTCGCGATATTAGTTTAACTTAAGCAACTCATTTCATGTTTTCTAAGTCACCTAAGTGTTCAATTCTCAAGTTCAAAAGGACGAATTTGAATTCCCTTTAATTTTCATCCTATTTCCCTTTGTTTTCTCTAACTCTCTTTTCTAACTCTCAGGAAGAATGCTTCTCTAAAACTCCCTCCGTGCTTCTCCATCCATCTCCATTTTGTTCTCCGAGCAAATTAGGTTAGAAGGCAATTAATAGTTTCAGTAGCTTAAGTGGCCGAGTTTGACTCAAACTAATCTTGCTTAACCTCCAAGAATGAGATTCTACTAGGCAATTGTAGCTTAACGATAGTAATTTAACTTAAGCACCTCTCATTTAATGTTTTCGAAATGGGTGACTTTGAACTCCCTTTAATTTTCGTCCTATTTCCCTTTCTTTTCTCTAAATTTCTATCCTAGCTCTCAAGAAGAAAGTTTTGCCCTAACTCTCTTCGTACTGCTCCATCCATCTCTCTTTTCTTCTAGGAACTAATTACCTTTGGCAACTATCCGTTTCATTAGCTTAAGAGGCCAAGTTTAGCTTACAGTCATATAATTGTAATCAAAGCCTAAATTAGTTTGCTGCCATATAATTATATTCATTGTAGTTAGGAGAAATAGATCATTCATAGAATTGACAGTTTGGGTTTTTGGTTTGGTTAGGTGTACCATTTGCAAGACAATATTTGAACTATTAATATATATAATATTTATCTTTATATCCTCATAGTGTCAGAAAAAATGCATGTATAAAAAAAATTATAATTATAACTATTAATATATAGTAATATTTATCATTTATATATATATATATATATAAATTAATGATAAATATTACTATATATTAATAGTTATAATTATAATTTTTTTTTATACATGCATTTTTTCTGACACGATGAGGATATAAAGATAAATATTATATATATTAATAGTTTCAATATTATCTTGAAAATGGTACACCTAACCAAACCAAAAGCCCAAACTGTCAATTCTATGAATGATCTATTTCCCCTTACTACAAAGAATACAATTATATGGCCGTAAACTAATTTAGGCTTTGATTACAATTATATGACTGTAAACTAATTTAGCATTTGATTGAGCTTGACCATGGAGTCTAACATGGTAACTCAATTTCCTACCATCAATTCCTTCCATTCTTGTTTTACAACTTCTGTCTTGTCACTCACTCTCACTCTTCGTTTCGTCAATGGCAGCAAGAAAGGCTTCTCTCATGGCTGCTCTCAGAGTCATCAAACGTTGGTGTTCATTGTTAATAATTTCTTTTACATACTTTGTTATTTTATATATATATTCTCATGTTTTTTCTTCATATTTTTGTTTTGTATAGGGAGTTCTTTCTCGGAGAAGATGACCCAGCATTTTTACGGGCAACAAGGATGGTCGGAAAAGCTGAATATGGACCAGATGAAGATGGACG